CGGCAAGAGAGGCGCGTCGTGACTCGCGCAGCCAACGGTTAGTGTGTGCAGAGATCGAGCTGTGGAGCCGGTGTGCTGCGTCATTTCCGTTTCGCGTATAGAAGTGAAATTCGCATCGTTTCTTCCCGTTTCGATCTCGAAGAGCTTCTTCGCCCGACGTGCTCGGCTTCCAAAGTCCGCCGCGGCGCCGAACAGTGTTCGAAAACGGCGACTTAGACGGGGGAAACAATATTTTACCGTAAAAATGAATAAACCAATGCGAACAAATATTTCAACTATGTTAACACTTATTGGACGTAATAATTTTAATCTAGTTTAATTTAATTTAATTTAATTTGTTTATATGTACGGGTAAATTTTATCATGTTCACAGTAAACGACAAAAACATATAACATTAATAGTGACAGAGAATCAGCAAGATTCTAAGATTTCGACGAGAAATCTAAAATTTTTAAGCGTTCACCATTCCTTTCTATTTTCTAACTCATAATTTATACTTTTATTCTGTCTCTATTGTGTCTTTCTGTCTGTACTATAGTTCTTTGTTNATGGTCGCGTTAGTTTGTCTATAGACCTTAACGAAACATGCGAAAATCGAAATTAATTGTCAGAAACTAAATAGATAGTTAACTAACAATATTTATATTCTGGATCTAAATGAACTCGAGCTTCACTGCCCGAGTGGAAAACACGAAGAATTAAAAGCTTGGAGGCTTAAATAGTGATTTCTATCTGAACAAAAAAAGTTTGAAACTGAAGTTAACGAATTCGTCTTTGCTTCGTCAAACAATTAACGAACTGACGTAGAAACGTACGCAAACAGCGTCGGTAGTAGATGTCGGATTTCCTATTATAGATATCTCGCTGCCGATCAACTAAATCAAACGGTTAAGTTAAAATAAAAGTTGCATTGAAAGTACTACGAAACGGTCAGCTCATAAATCAGCTCACCGTTTTGACGTACCTGGTCTGATTGCGACATACACACATACATATACGTATATCTACGGTTCCCAGGTGACTGTTTATAGCAGACGTCCCGATGCCTATCGGGCGGCAACCGTTAGCTAGGCATTCTGATCATCTATTAAATAGAGGATCCGTGGGTCCTTTATTTCTATGGATCCTTTTCCAGACCTTTCGTACTCTTCTTTCATCCATGCTCCTCATTTCACATTGTCTTTAATCGAGAAGGTTCTTCTATCTCTGCATCGCAAATAAGAAACAACGAGAGAATTATGAAGTGTCAGTCAAAATAATGAGAATTCTCAAATTATATTGTATATTTTAACTCGAATTTCTTGTTCTCGTACGAATGTACATTATATGCTGTACTCATTCGTGGGAACATTGGTATGCTAATAATGGAGGAGGACGCTGAACTAGACGTGTAACTTGCATTTTCGTTTACTAATATGGTTTCAATGCATAGAATTCTCTCCTTAGCGAACTGTTACTCCACTGGTATTGACTTTTTTTACCAACGATGTAGAAGTTTTTAAACGTTCACTATTTGTTCTATTTTCTAACTCATAATTTATACTTTTGTTCTGTCTCTATTGTGTCTTTCTGTCTGTACTATAGTTCTTTGTTATAATTTCCATTTATTATACTACAAGGGCCTATGCCCGTTTATCAGTAAATAAATCCAAAATAAATAAACGAATAAAATAAACGGTATTTTAAACGGTATAACAGTTAAATAAACAGTAAACGATGCATACTGTAGTAAATAATACACGAGGTAATGAACAATGCACATGGTACCGAACAACAACAACAATGAAGAAAATGTGACTCACGCCACTATGATTCTAACCCATTCAACTACAGTAGAGCTTCTCTTATATGAACGTTTATTTTTCAGTTATCTAAAAGTTTCGTTCGAGTTCTCCGCTAGCCGACTATGCATCTAAATACATGATACAATGATCGGGGAGAAACATTCTATTATCCAAAAGTTTCATTCGAGTTCTCTACTAGCTGATAACGTAACCAAATGATACAATGATTAGGCAATAGAACGTTCGGCTAGCAGAATATTGTAAAAATAAATGTTCGGATAAGGGAGTCTCTGCTGGAGCAGTCCGAACGGATGCCCTGGAGGTTTCTGGGACCTAATAACACGAAATGATGAAGGATCGAAGATGATCACGAGCACGGGGGCTTTTCGCGTCTAAATCGCTGTTTTCGAACACTGTGCTGCGCGTCGCGCCGCATCGTAATCGACGCCTGTGCGCGTCGACTAATAGAGTTTGGGGGTTTGACAGCGATATTTTAGAAGAACGAGAAGAGAAATGGCTGTGGACGCGGCGCGACGGTGTGTGGTCCGGCACGTTCGAGGGAACGAACGGGGCGATTAGCCCGGGGCCCTCTCTCCCCTTCCCTAATCCCTCGACTCTTTCAGTCAGGGCTCGTTTCTGAGGAACCCTCCGCTCTGCCGGGATCTTCCTTCTTCCCTTCCTTCCTTCCTTCCTTCTTCCCTTCCTTCTTTCCTTTCTTCCTTCCTCCCTTCCTTTCTTCCTTCCTTCCTTCCTTCCTTTCTCCCTTTCTCCCGCCTTCCCTTCTGCCCTGCCGGAGTTACCCCAAAAGAGACTCGAACGCTACGAACAGAAGCCGCGTAATTGATATTCGGTCGGTCCCTTTCTGGGTCCGCACAGGGAAGAACTGTTCCAGACGAGTCTCCTTCGAGTTCTCCGGGCCCTCGGTGTCGCGTTACGCTCTTCCCTCCCCCCGACCTCGTCTAGGTTTGTTAGCGCACATAGAAACGGCGCTCGCTTTCAACGTTACTTTCGATCGCTTTGTTTTTCATCCCTCGAGCGACCGAGGGACTTTTTCATCGCGGAAGGACTCCCACCCTTTGACCTTTGATCTCGTCGGGATCAACGACCACGGTGCCGTTCCTGTGTTACGAGTTTGTGCGAGATTGCGAGCTCGTTACAGACTGTGACTTACAGTGAATTGGCGGAAAGGTCTCGTTTCCAATGTTTCGTGGAGTTGCATTTTCACTTGTGGCGTATTTTCTATCAACCCTTTGCACACGAAGCTGTTTCAACTATAAATCTGAAATAATTTTCCTGACTTACAGTATTATCATTTCATACGACGAAGTGCGGTCAAAATCGTCGTCGAACATAATCGTCGTCGCTCAAAATCCTCGTCGATCGAAATCATCGTCGACTAAAATCGTCGTCGGTCAAAATCGTCATCGGTCAAAATCATCGTCGACCAAAATCGTCGTCGGTCAAAATCGTTTTCGGCAAAAGACCGCGTCGACCGAATCAACCGTCGGTGACCTCTGAAGTGTACGGCGTGTCGTAGAACGTGAAAACCGTGTCCAAGAAATTCGTGTCGTCGATCTCCATGGTAGCCTGTGACGCAGGGTGATCGGTGATCGAAGCGTTTGGCCGGCAACAGGCTACATAGTCTCGAATTCGCGCGGAACCGAAGGAGCTCGTTGATCGGCGAACAAAGCGAAAGAGAATCTCTGGTAATCTCCCGAGGGAGCTTTCGAGGAACCGGATGATCGATAGGCGGTATCATCGTTGGCCGGTCCGTGGTGAAATTATCCGGCGAGCGCCGCCGCGGTGTCAGGTTTTCTTTCGACCACTTGACTCGGCTGCTCGGGGACTACCGAACTGCGTCCGAGTCCTCGCATCCAGATCGCTTTCTCGAGGAGCGACGCGGGTGGGATCGGGCCGGGCCGGGCCCCGCAGGCCCGCCGCGCCGCGACAGAGAGCGAAACCGAGGAGCTCCTATTTCGAGGAGCCTCGAACATCCGCGCGTCCTCGCGCACGCACGCACGCACGCACGCACGTACGTATGCACGCAGGGACCCGCGAGTAGAAACAAACGCAAATGCGGGCCCATTCTCCGTGACTGGGAGATCGTCCTCGTCCCGTCACCGACTCTTCCTCCTCCTCGTCCGTTCGACAATGAGGTCTTAATAATTGAGATGGCTGCGGCGATAATCGCACGGTGTTTACGCACCACTCCCGCGCGTAATCATGAAAGTAGGAAATGACGGTGCAACGTGTCCGCGCCGCATCGCGGTGATACCGCCGGCCATTAATTAACGCGGGTATCACGCGAACGCCGCGCCTCTCCGCGCCGTTTTCATCCACGACCGGCCAATAATTCGCTCGTTAGCATCGCTCCTGCCAATAGCGGCCGGCTGGCCGTCCTCTCGAACGCATAATCCTTCCTAATTAACCGTAATTAAGCTCTCGATAGAGGGCTCGCGCCGGGTCATCCGGCAGGACCGTACATCTCCCGAGATGTTTCGCCGCGTTTTTTCTCCGTCGTTCTCCTTTGACCGCCGTTTAACCTCGAGAACGTTTCTCAGCGAAGATGTAGCGTCAAACTTAGGATTTTAGGAGTTCGAAGGTCACAGAGATGTATTTTTGAAACTGTATCGCTTAACACCTTGCGCTCGAAGCAACTTCAACTCGAAATCTGAAATATTCACGGCATCAAATTTTGTGACTCAAGCAACAGCTACGCTTCGTAATATTTTTTAAATATAAGCAAATTGGATGATGTTGAAATTCTTTTGAATGCATACATAACAATCCTTGATTGCGCCTCAGAGTCGCCACTCGAGTGCAAAGGTTTAAGAATATGCTAAAAAGAAAAAGATCGATCTTTTCAAACGTTCGCACTGTAATAGCCCCTTAAACGCTAACAGATGTACGATAAATTCTCCCTAATTTTCGTTCAGTTTATAAACAAAAATGGACTATTTGGGAAGAGCAGATACGATCATCCGAGCCACGTCGCTCATTTTTATAGTTGCCGATCGTCGACAATTATAAAAACGTGCAAGCCTCGAATAATCGTATCTCCTCTTCCCACATCGTCCATTTCCGTTTACAAGCCGGAGAGAAATTAGGGAGAATTTACCGTAGCCGATCGATTACCACGGGTTTCAACAATTTCTATTCGCATGTCCTTCCTCGGGATTCCAGCTGATCGTCTCGATTCCGCCTGATTGTTTCAGGGACCCCATGGAGCTGATGGAGCAGCAGCTGGTGAGGTGCGGCGTGGCCCCGGTGCGGCTGTACGAGCACCTCGCGATGTCGTCCCCAGCGGCGGCGGCGGCCGCGGCTGCGGCGGCCGCAGCGGCCGCAGCCCTGGGCGCGCAACAGCAGCAACAGCATCATCCGCATCACCAACAGCACCACCACCAGCAATCGGCGTCGCAGCAGCACCAGCAACAGCAGTCCCAGCACGAGAGCCCGGCGCACGCTCTGCCGCCGTGGATGACGCCTTCGACGGCTCTGCTGTACGGGACCGTGGGACAGACGCACCCGGGGACCAGGCCGGCGACCGGCGCCTCCTCGCCGTACCCCGCCGTCGCGGCCACCGCGCCCTTTCCCTACCCGGCGGCGCTTCCCTGGCCCTGGCAGCCGCCGCCCGTCGCGATGATCTCGCGAAGGTCCTCGCCGCCGACCGCCGCGGCTCCCACCCTCAGGTACACGCCGTATCCGCCACCGGCGAGCACGCCTCCGCCGCTGAGGACTCGTCCGACCACCCCCAATTAGCGCACCCTCTCGATCCGCCGTTGATAACGCGGCCGTACCTCGTCCCGTCGTCTGTCGCCTGTCTCATCCCCGCGCACAGTAGTCTGGCAACCGGTGTACTCTGGCCGAAACTCGACCTTTACAATTTCTCGATTTACACCGTAAGCTCCGGGGCTGGTTTCGCGAGAACTCGCGCGCGTCGTATTTTAACACTGGAACTACCAAACCGGTCGAGGCGACTGGTTATTGTTACGATTGTTTTTCCGTTCGAATTCTCGATACCGTGAAGAACGTTTTCGTCGGAAAGTTTTATAGGAACTTCGTTATGTTATAATATATGTTATAATGAAAAAGCGTAGGAAGTTTAAATGAATCCAATCTTGTCATTGTCATAAAACAATATGCGTTAAGCATGTTTAGGGCTTGTTGGTAGTTCCAGCGTTGAGGTTTTCGACCGTGTTGCATCGTTCCGCGAAACTCGGTGTGAAACTTTTAGAATGTCGAACACACGAAGGTGTACAACTTTTGAAATATCAAGCAGCTTTCCATGGAGGCGTACGCTTTTCATATAGCAATCGTTCCGACATTAAATTATAATTACTTTGCTGTTTCATTATTTTATTATTTCGTTATTTTATTGTGTTCTGTTTAATAGGCATCTTCGATGCGATGCCTGTACTTTCCTTTGCACCGCGTTGCACCGTGCACATGTTGTAACACGTGCGCATAGGTCGCCGGTATTGAACGGCGCGCATGACTAATTAGACCGCGGATATCATGTATTTATGACGGAAACGAGTAGATCAATCTCAAGACGTAAAAATATTTGGAGAATTTAAAAATGTTGTTGTAGCATTTGCAACTCGTTCACACGATTGAGGACAGAAATAAATGTTTCTTGTCGTCTTGCGATCAATGCAGACAATTTTCATTTTGCGTAAAACTCCGCAGTCTGATTGTTATAGACTCGAAGTAACTTTTACAGTGCTACCGACGTCTGAACGAAAATTTGACGACTAATCGTATTCGTGTATTTCTGTTTTCTATCATTTCTAGTACAGAAATGTACGAATACGATGAATTGCCAAGCTTTTGTTCAAATATTACTTGGAAATGCAAAAGTTATATCGAGTACTGAAAGTACTGAAAATTTCATCGAGAAATCGGTTCACCCTATTATGGATCACGAACAATCAAAGATCGCGAAGAATCGCACTTTCTCACGAATTTCGAGTGAAAAACAGATAATTTTTACAATTTTCAGTGGCTTGACTATGCGTCGAGCGATTTCAATGAAATTTCCAGTATGCGTATAAGCAGACCGCGGATCTTCGTGTAAAATAAAAACGATTTGCATCGACTGCAAGATGAATGAGCCAAGTACAACTTTCTTTCCTTTTTTTTTTGTTAATCAATTCAATAAGTTGGAATTGGTACACCAACTATTTTAATTCCTTTTACTCTTTTCACTGTTTTCAGCCTCATCCGCCTATTCTTGCCGTAAATGCATAAAATCCGCAGTCTAAATATAAGATACCGGAAATCTGCAAAATCCATCGTTTGAATCTCCGTTCCAGGTTCAGACAAGATAGTTCGAAAACTCTCGTCCTTTATATTGTTCGCCGCTCCAAGTGATAGCACAATTAACCCTTTGCACCCGAAGCGAAATTAACGCAAAATTTCAAATAGTTCTTCTGGTCCACGGTATTTCCATTTTATACGATATAGTGCATTTTGAACGCACGCTTTCAACATTTCCTCGAATATAAACAAATTTGATCGATAAGATTATTTTGAAACGCGACGTAACAGTTTTTAATGGCGTCTCGCAATCGACACTCGATTGCAAAGGGTTAAAAATAATATTTGAATCGTTGCACGGCGAACTAGAAACATTTGAGCACAACATTCGAGTCATTTAATTTAAATTAAGTCGAGCTTTAAAAAAAGGTTGTTGTTGCGTTTCGAAAGGTGTACGAACGCTTTCTGCCACGGGTTGTAATAACCTTGTCATTAATTAACCTTGTAACACCGCTGAGACCATTTCGGACACGATGACCGGGTTTTTAGCCTGTATACTGTGTCGCGGGAGGACGCGGCCCAGCCAAAGAATTCCGCGAGAGCGTCGATTCGGAGAGAAGCCCAGGCACCGAATCCTCGGGCCGACCTCCGACCTCGGCCACCTAATTTAATTCCTCGGCGAGCATCTCGTCGCGGTTCGACTCGGGGCCGCGCGCTCGACGCTCTCCGTCGAACTTTACTCGTAAGTTTAGTCGTAGGCTAGGGGTGGGCGGGCACCCGAGATTTCGGGTTAAAGTCGGGTCTGGTATTTTCTTCGGGCTCGGGTCGGGATCCGAAATTTTTCTGTACCCGGAAAGTTCGAGTATTTGAGATCGAAAGTCCCGGAAGCGAATTGGGGAGTTTGTAAATCCAGACATTTCCTGGAAACCTAAGTACATATACAGGGTGGCGAAAAATTTACCCAAAATCGGGTAATGAGGGGTTCCTGAGGCCATTCGAAGTAACCTTTTCCTTAGCGCAAATGCAATCCGCGGCTTCGTTTACGAGTTATCGACGAAAAACAGTGACCAATGAGAAGCGAGCTCGGCTGGCGCAGGGCGGTGACTCGTAAAATAAACTCGTAACTCGCGCATTGCATTTGCGTTAAGGAAAATGTTGCTTCAAATGACCCCAGAAACCTCTCATTTCCCGGAAGTAACATAATTTTGGAACACCCTGTAGAAAACGTACAGTGAATTCTCCCGAATTGTTCCTCAGCTTGTAAACAAAACTAGACAATTTTGGAAGAAGAAACACGATTGTTCGAGCCTCGTGGCTCGTTTTTATAGTCGTTGACAATCGGCGACTTTAAAAACTTTGAAATCTTGTCTCTTCTTCACGAATTGTCCATTTTTGTTTACAAGCCGAGGAACAATTAGAGAGAATTTACTGCATATAAAACAATTCTCGAGCCAGATGATACGCAATAAGGAACGGCTAATGAAATGTTTAAATATGCCTCCCTGATTCCATATTAACACTTAGCCAACCGAATGGGGAGACCACCCCGTTTTAAATTCAGTCGATCGATGAACCGATCGGGGAAATCTACGTCTAATTAAAAGTGACTGCTTAATTTTATTAAGATTGCAATATACAGTAATGTCTCTCTAATTGACGCTCAGATTATAGCTCGACTCTGGGTTAATCGATTTCTATCTAATCTAAGAAAGGCATTTTAAAAATTTTTGTTGTAAGCTCAGATAAAAAAGTTAACAATTTATAATTTTTTTTTGTCATCCCAAGTAAATCTCTCTATCATCTAAAAAACTTCAAATCACTTGGTCCAGTTTTAAAAAAGTTATTGCGTTTTAAAAGATGTACGCTCAATTTTGTGAGTATAGTAAATTCTCCCTAATTGACGCTCCGATTGAAGATAAAAATGGACAATTTGGAAAGAGGAGAGATACGATTATTCGAGCTTTGCGGTTTGTTTCTATAGTTACGAATTGTCAACAATTATAAAAACGAACCGCAAGGCTCGAATAATCGTGTCTCCTTTTCCCAGATTATCCATTTTTGTGGACAATCTGAGCGTCAGTTAGGGAGACATTACTGTAAGTGGTATTCATGCCATATAAGTTTGTTTCGCAATTTTTGAACGGAATGCTTTAATTGTATGATATTTTCGAGATTTCCGACGCGGTCGTGCAAGTGTTAAAACTTTGGGTACCCAAAAGTTTCGTGGCCCGGCCCGACCCGACCCGATCAAAGGCAAACCCGATGTTCGGGAACCCGCACACCCCTATTGTAGGGAAATGGCCCGTACTTGTTCGCTCTCTGTGTCCCGCGTAATGTAACCGTAGACGTGTTTCTGTCCCGAGTCTCGTAGCAGAGGGCGGTGGGCCACTTCTGTCCTCTGTCGGGCTCGAGGGTTCTTGTACATAATCGAAGTGTTTGCGCGAATTAGATGGAATCGACGTTGTACCGCGAACGGCCTCTCGTGGTCACAATTTGTATTATACGAAGAGAGTGAGAGAATGAAAGAGCTAGAGTGTGAAAGTGAGAAAAAGAGAGCGAGAGAGAGAGAGAGAGAGAGAGAGAGAGGGAGCGTGTGTGCGAGATCGTGCGAGAGTCTAGCTGTAACATATACCACGATAGTATTAACGCGCCTCCCCTCGAGACGCTGGAATTTGTACATAAAATCTTTTATGGTAGCGTATAGTGTCAACGCCGTGTTCTCGATGTAGCACGGATGAAAATAAATGAATTTTCATTAACGCGTCTCGTTGCTCCGCTCCGATTACCGGCACATTCCCTCCGACTTCTCCGTGATCCCAGCAGCACACAACGAAGCCGAGACCAAGGAGTCTGCCGACGTTAACGCGAAGCCCGCGACGATGCGCCCCGGCACCGGTTTCAAAGAGGAGAACCGAGTCAGGTCGAGTCGAGTCGAGCCCCGAGACGAGACGAGTCAGGTCGAGGCGAGTCGAGTCGAGTCGAGTCGAGACGAGACGGACGCGGTCCGTGTGCTCCCTCGTGTTTCCCGAGGCGACTGGACTTGCCTCCGCATCTCATCGAGTGGCTCGTCACGCCAGCCAGGCTTCATCGCACCTTCAACTGCCGTGTAATTCTGTTATACCTATCTGAAATTAAATAAATTCATTTCACGGCCTGTCAACGAGCAATTATTTTTCGATGCAGCCAGTTTGAGGCCGGTTCGTTCCACGGCCGACGCTTCGCGACCCCTCGCCCTCGGCCCACGATCAGCCCAGAAGCACGGGTTCCCGCGGGCTGCGGGTTCTACGATCCGATGGCCGATCGAACGCGTCGCAAAAACCGCCTCCATCTTGCTCTATTATGATCCGCAAAAACAAAAAGAACAGAGAGAAAGCGCGCGAGAGATGGATAGATAGAGAAAGAAAAAGAGAGAGGAGGAGAGAGAAGACCGCGCGTAAAAAAGGGAAAGCCGAGAGACGCGTTATCGAGATCGCGGCGGGCAGCGTCCCGTGGGAAAGTAAGTTTTCGTCTCGGTTATAATCGAACGAGTACACGATAATTCGTCGGTATCTCGGGATCGTTGGAGGACACGAAGTGTATCGTGTATCCGGCCGCGTCGGAATCACCGCGTCCAACCAGGAAGATAAGAAGCAAAAGAAGAAGAGGCCAGCGAGCAGGAGAAACGAAGAGAGAGAAAGAGAGAAGGGGGAGAGAGAGAGAGAGAGAGAGAGAGAGCGAGAATGAGAGGGAGCGCCGTGGAGAACGGCGCGGTCGGAAGAGAAGGAGGAAGGTTTCACCGGGGCGCGAAAGCGATCGTGTGTTACGTCGTGATGGGTGGAGCGAGGTGAGAGAAACAGAGAGGCGGCTCCCGAGCTTGTAATTATGTTGATACGAATGATCTGCGGCGAGCCGCAAACCGACGTAGAGAAGCAGAGGAGCGAAAACACGAAGAGAGGGACGAGCAGCAGGAGAAGAAGGCGAACGAGCAGTAGGAGGAGGAGGAGGAGAAGGAGGAGGTGGAAGAAGGAGCAAAAGAAGGGGAGGAGATGAAGCCTCTAGCGGTGTTCACCGGCTGCTCTCTCTCTCTCTCTCTCTCTCT